GCTTATAACAGGCCACAGAATCACATCAATTAACACTCAACTGCCATCATTGGACAATATTCAATTGCTTCCGAATGAGCATTGTACTGTTATTGCCACAAAAAATCTCGTTCACTATACATTTTGAGTTAAAATCAGCATCTTCGTATATCCAAAGCGCTGTGTATAAACAAATTTACCTACATTTTGGTCAAATGTTAAGCGAATAGCTTTTTATTACCATTTTTTCTTTTTTTTAATGTTTACCGTTACAGCAAATTACTGTATAAGAAAAGTAAACTTAAAACCAAATGGCTAAAAAATAGACAAAAAAAAAAAAAAATAACAATTTTTAAAGCTGTTCGTTTTTCGGTTGAATAAACCGAATAAAATTCGAGTTTTGCTATTACGGTTGATCTACCATAGCTTATAGCTTAAAACTGCAACCAAAAATGTCATCGTTTAAACTTTACACCTGTAGTTGATGGTGATCAATGAAAAAATCCAGAGTTTTAAAAGGCTTCTCTAAAAAACAATAAGAATTTACAAAGGTGTATCAAAAAAAAAAAAAGAAAAATGCAGCCATTTTTCATAAAGATGTTACCATCAGCATTAATTTAGTTTGATAAACCCGTCTTTTTTTTTTTAATATTCTATTGCATAAAACTATAAAAAAGAAACTTAGACTAGTCTTAATGAACTAGCATGCTTTTACTTGCAACAAATATTCCCTAGTTCTTTTTTCAATGTTTGATAACTATTCTACTATCATTTGTCAAAAGATGCAGCAGTTGTTGTTGCTGTTTCCAAATTAATATTTTCTTTCATTTCAACAAATACTTTAATCTTTCTGCTAAGGTCTTTTAAAATATCAGCAACAGTAGAAAAAAGCTCCTTCTCGGTTTTATTAGAATCCCCCCCCCCCCAAAAAAAAATGGCAATAACTTGCTGACAATTGTTTTAGAAGAACTGTTACTTTGATTCTAAGTTTAAGTTTGAAATGCTGTATCACCAACGACGATAACAACAAAAACAACAATAAAAAAGAAAAAAGATAAATAAATAAATAAGTAAAAGAAAGAAGAGAGGGAGAAGGCAACAACGGCAGAAGAATAATATAGGAATATTGCCTGTAATAATTCTGTTCGACATTTGATACAAAATGATTAGACAAATAAATAAAGGCATTAATTGTTGGTAATACTGTTGCAAAATTCATTTCCTTGGTTTCCATCTCTGCAACAGCTCATCTTCTC